CTGTCTGTATACCTGGGACCATCAAAGACGGTTCTGTGACAAAGAGGACTGAGCTGAACTTGAACAGACTGATAAGAACAAGAAGCAAAGAGAGACACAGAAAAGAGGATGAACAAAACTGAGAAGGTCACGGCCATAATCATGAAGCCATGAACAAACAGCCATTGCTGGGGCAGCCGATGACTTTGGGCTGCTAAGAAGTGACCAAATTGTGGGAGAATCAGAAGAGTGAGTTTCATGGGAAAACCCTATAAAATACCTACACGATATCTACAAATAAGGTAAAACATGCCGTGCCCAGAGATCAAATTTTTATTCTCAATGAATATGTAAGCCTGAGAGGTTTCCCCATACATAGAGACCTTTGTACTACATAAAGCAAAGCCTGTCCTACATAGGCTATCGAAAGCTCCATTAAAATGACCATTAGCAAAGGCAAGCTAGATTTAGTCTCAGCACCATGTGGCTTTTCCATCCCTAGTGACTACAAAGAAAACTAATGTCCTCATTTCCAAAGAGGGGTGCTATAATTAAAGTCTTATTTCAATGACCCTAACCACTATCATAATGGATTTCGCTGTCAAAAGAGTAAGAGAGAAAGAATTCCTTTTGGTCAATGAGTCTTATAAAAGATACAAGCAAAAAAATTATTGTTGTTTTTTTAATCAATATTTTTCTAACACCCATTGTTCTGCTTATGATAATATGTCTGAAGTAAGAGATAAGTTCCTCCAAAAATATCCTTAGTCCTGCCTTCTACCACTCTGCAGTTTTGTAACCCTTCTTGCATGTTAAGATAACACCTTTCCTGACAGGAGACTCAGAAAAGTCACCAAAGGCTTTATGTTTGAGGTAAGACCTTTACTGTTTAATTCTCTTTAGTAGTTATCAATTAATTAAAATTAATAAAAGCTCTCCAAAGAGTCAGTATGTTTTGAAAATCAAAGATTAGCATCATATATACTTAAATTATACAAATTATCATCAAATGAATTTATGATCATTTGTTAGTTATCTATGAAAAGGGTTATAGATGCTCACTTTCCTACAAAACATCACTGTTCTGGGAAGAGATTCAGCAAGTTCACCTAACAGACTCACAAGCGGCCTCACAAGGAAGCTGATGGCTCTTCTAGGTGACCCCAGGATGCTCTTTAGGATAGAACATGTTTTGGTTTTACAATTGGCTCCTTAGACGATTTCCACTTACACTGAATTGTCTAGCGCAGTGTCTTATTGACACCATAGTTGAAAATCACCCTGAAAATAAGTCTGAGATAAAAAGAAAGAAGGAAATAAGTGCTGGGGATTAAGCCACAAATTCTACCACCAATACAAACCCAGATGTGCTAAGATGTAGCATTTGCAACGTCTTCACTAAAGCACTGCTAACTGAATTGTGTGTGGAACTCTTAATTAACTCCAGTATCTAGGTAACATACAAGGTTTGTTGTCCTGATTTTTGTGAACTAGGTCACTCTGTGTTCTTCAATGGCATCAATGTCTAGCACATTTCTTGGAGAACAATCCAAGCACAGCTTGTGTCAGCTCACAGGAATTGTTCATGTTTGGGATTGCTATGCTTACAACAGGAAGAGTAACCTATGAAGATTACCACCTATGCAGAAAGTTACTAATGCTTATATTCTGGGTGATGATTGACAGGTCAGATTCAAGGAAGTGGTGGAAAGAGGGGAACTTACAATTATAGTCTAATACCTTAGCTCTCACAGCTGCTTTCTTCTTTTGCTAGTAAGAAAGTAATTCTTTCTTAAAACCTCTTAGTTTCTTGAAAGTATCTGGACACAGTCAAGACCAAATACCAGATTTTCTAGTAATAAGTGTTGACTAATCCTTTGCCTGTTCACTCTTTTATACAATATATATCAGAGGGTACCCAGAAATTGGTTACGAAGAAGTATTTTTTATACACAGATATAAAACAAAGGTGTTTGTTCAGTCACAATGGAAATAAAAGCTTCTGAATAAAAATAAAGATTCAGAAGAATCATTTGCAGTCATCTCTAGGCCTGGGGTCTTTTATGTGAACCAGGGAAGTTTTGTAATTGCATCAGGTGTTAATTAATAAAAGTCCTACGGCTAGAGAGATAGCTCAGAGATAGTTCAGAACACATAATAGTCTTGCAGAAGAGTATTTGATTTGATTCATGGTTTGGCTTGGTGCTCATTTGATTCCCAGGACCCACATGACATGGCTCACAACCACCTGTAACTCTGGTTCCAGGGCATATTATGTGCCTCCGTTCACCACAAACATTCATGTACATACATAATGAATTTTTATTTATTTTACATTTAAATTCATAAAAGCGGTCTGGGAAGATGGCTCAGTGCCTGATGCTCAAGCAAGAGAACCAGAGTTCAACTCAGATGCTCAACACCTACTTAAATGCCAGGTTGGCATGGCAACCCACTTATGATCTAGCATTGGAAGGTGGAAGCAGGATCCCCAGGACAAGCTGGTTAGTGAGGCCTGCCTCACTAGTAAGCTCTGGGTTTGATTAATAGAGTATGCCTAAAACGAATAGGGCTGTGTAGGGATAAGTCCCGCCCCTTAAGGGGCGTGTTCGCCTCGGGCTAATGTCTGCCTATAAATTTGGCGAGCAAGCTCCGAGCTTCTCGCTTCTGCTTTCCTGGTCTCCGCGGGAACGGTGGTTCTGTAAGTCTATTTCTACATTAAAGCTATATATATATTTTTACACTCTGTCTGCATTCATTTACGCCGCTACATTTTGGCACCCCACGTTGGGCGCCATAATGTAGTAATAGGGGCGACGGCGGGGCTGCGTCCCCAACACCCCAGCCGCCTGCCCGTCTGGCTTATGCCCCAAAATAATTACACGGACACTGTATTCTTTTAAACTCTGCTTGGCCCTTTAGCTCTAGCACTTACAGGCTAATTCTCACATCCCGATCAACCCATCTCTAATAATCTGTGAGAACCGGTCTTACCGGGAAGATTCTAGCCTAGTCCATCCTGGGTCGGAGCTTCATGCTGGGAGCGGGACATGGCGTCTCTCCCAGGCGTCTGCTCCAGAGAGGAGAGCTGTCATGTCTCTGAGCTCACTTCCTCTTCCTCCCAGCATTTTGTTCTGTTTACTCCTCCCACCTATCCTCTAACCAATGAAATGGGCCAGGGCAGTGCCTTTATTAGCCAATGACCTTCCTCCATCAGGGCTGGAGAACTATCAGAACATTTCCTGACATTGTCCGTAAGCCTGCTCATGCACCAACACTCATATGCACATGCACTGGCACACATATGATATGTAATGGCACACATATGATATGTACTGGCACACATAATACACATGCTCTGGCACACATATGCACATGCACTGGCACACATATGATATGTACTGGCACACATATGCACATGCACTGGCACACATATGATATGTACTGGCACACATATACACATGCACTGGCACACATATGATATGTACTGGCACACATATGCACATGCACTGGCACACATATGCACATGCACTGGCACACACATGATATGTAATGGCACATATATGCACATACACTGGCACATATATACACATTTACTGGCACACATATACACATGCACTGGCACACATATACACATGCACTGGCACACATATGCACATGCACTGGCACACATATGCACATGCACTGGCACACATATGACATGCACTGGCACACATATGCACATGCACTGGCACACATATGACATGCACTGGCACACATATGCACATGCACTGGCACACATATGACATGCACTGGCACACATATGCACATGCACTGGCACACATATGATATGTACTGGCACACATATACACATGCACTGGCACACATATGCACATGCACTGGCACACATATGACATGCACTGGCACACATATGCACATGCACTGGCACACATATGATATGTACTGGCACACATATGCACATGCACTGGTACATATATACACATGCACTGGCACACATATGCATATGTACTGGCACACATATACACATGTACTGGCACACATATGCACATGCACTGGCACACATATGACATGCACTGGCACACATATACACATGCACTGGCACACATATGCACATGCACTGTCATACATATGCACATGCACTGGCACACATATGCACATGCGTTGGTACATATATACACATGTACTGGCACACATATGCACATACATTGGCACACATATGCACATGCACTGGCACACATATGATATGTACTAGCACACATATGCACATGCAGTGGCACACATATGCACATGTACTGGCACACACATGTGCACATGCACTGGCACACATATGCACATGCACTGGCATGCATATACACATGCACTGGCACTCATATGCACATACACTGGCACATATATACACATGTACTGGCACATATATGCACATGCACCAGCAAACGTGTGCACATGCACTGGACACATATGCATATGCACCAGCAAACATATGCACACACACCTGCAAACACACATGCACCCATAAGAAAGAGGAGAATGAAAAAAAAACCTATATGAATTGGTGATGAGCATGTTATAATCACTATTTTAAAAGGTAGTCATTTAAGTGTTTAATCTCACCTTTTAATTCTATAAATCAATACATGAATCCATTTAAGAGGACTGTGGATGAGTTAACCAAGCATGTGCATTGATAGTAAAGATGCAGGTGACAGCTTCTGCTCTTGACAACTATGGAAGACTGAGCATGCAGGGAGAAAATATCATGTGGATACAATGCTGTATCTACAACTTTTCAGGTAAATAGCACAGAAAAATGAATCTTTTATTTCACCCAGAATAGCAATAAGCATAGTTTTTGCTTGAGTGTAAACAGGGACAAAGTATTTTCTCTGAGTTGCTAATAAGAAAAAAAAAAGACTATTTCAAAGAATAGAGCATGAACATTAAGTAGCAATATCTATGTGAAGTCCACTTGAATCATGGGTGAAAATAAAAGCAACTATTCTTTTTCTTTCTTTTAACAATAGGTCATGGAACTAAAGGAGTGTTTGAACTTCTGTCTGGATGGCGGAGAACCAAAGAGAATTTACCCTTCAAAGACAGGGTAGCGGACGCCTATTCTGATGTGATGGTCACCTACACCATGACCAGCTCCCTCTACTTCATCACGTTTGGTATGGGTGCCAGCCCATTCACAAACATAGAGGCAGTGAAGATCTTCTGTCAGAATATGTGTGTCTCTATTCTATTGAACTACTTCTACATTTTCTCTTTCTTTGGCTCTTGCCTGGTCTTTGCTGGACAACTAGAGCAAAATCGATACCACAGCATCTTTTGCTGTAAGATCCCTTCTGCAGAATACCTGGAACGCAAACCTGTGTGGTTCCAGACAGTCATGAGTGATGGGCACCAACAGACATCCCATCATGAGACAAACCCCTACCAGCACCATTTCTTTCAGCACTTCCTCCGAGAACATTACAATGTTTGGATTACCAATATCTACGTGAAGCCATTTGTGGTCATCCTGTATCTCATTTATGCCTCCTTCTCCTTTATGGGGTGCTTGCAGATCATTGACGGAACTAGCATCATCAACCTACTAGCCAGCGATTCCCCAAGTGTGTCCTATGCCATGGTTCAGCAAAAATATTTCAGCAACTATAGTCCCGTAATAGGATTCTATGTTTATGAGCCGCTTGAGTACTGGAACAGCAGTGTCCAGGAGGACCTGCGGAGGCTCTGTAGTGGGTTCACCACAGTTTCCTGGGTGGAGCAGTACTATCAGTTCCTGAAAGTCAGCAACATCAGTGCCAATAACAAGACTGACTTCATCAGTGTCCTACAAAGCTCGTTTTTAAAAAAGCCAGAATTCCAACACTTTCGGAATGATATCATTTTCTCTAAGGCAGGAGATGAAAACAACATCATTGCTTCTCGCTTGTATCTGGTGGCCAGGACTAGTGGGGACAAGCAGGAGGAAGTCATAGAAGTCCTGGACAAGCTGAGGCCCTTGTCGCTTTCAAAGAGCATCAGGTTCATCGTGTTTAACCCTTCCTTCGTTTTCACAGACCATTACAGTCTGTCAGTCACTGTGCCTGCTCTGATAGCAGGCTTTGGGGTTCTCCTGGTGTTAATCCTGACTTTCGTCCTCGTGATCCATCCCCTGGGCAACTTCTGGCTCATTCTTAGTGTCACCTCAATTGAGCTGGGTGTTCTGGGCTTAATGACCTTGTGGAAGGTCAACATGAACTGCATTTCCATCCTGTGCCTTATCTACACTTTAAATTTTGCCATTGACCACTGTGCACCACTGCTTTACACGTTTGTACTAGCAACCGAGCACACCAGAACACAATGTATCAAACGCTCCCTGCAAGAGCACGGGACAGCCATTTTGCAAAACATTACTTCTTTTCTTATTGGGTTGCTCCCCCTCCTCTTTGTGCCTTCAAACCTGACCTTCACACTGTTCAAATGCTTGCTGCTGACTGGGGGTTGCACGCTTCTGCACTGTTTTATTATATTACCTGTGTTCCTAACCTTTTTTCCCCCTTCCAAAAAGCACCACAAGAAAAAGAAACGTGCCAAACGAAAGGAGAGAGAAGAAATTGAATGCATAGAAATTCAAGAGAACCCTGATCACGTCACCACAGTTTGAAGGTGGAGACTTTTTTTTTTCTTTCCAATGTTGCACAATGACACAGGGCAAGGAAAGCTCAGACCTCAGCTGCTTGGGCTGGCCAGGGGTCACAGTGCAAGTCAGATCAAGAGTACTTTGCTCATGATACATCCAAGGATCTGCTTCCTGTGGGGGGAAGAGGGGATAAAAGGAGGGAAAGTTCTTTGCAACCTTGTTCTCCATGAGAGATACATTTCCAGACATTGATTTAGAGCTATGGATTTCCAAGAATGGATGGATTACATGTTAAAACAAAAGGCTGAAAGAGCTAAAGATGCAAAAGAAATGCTTAGAAGAAATGGAGAACAGGGACTAGGTGGTCTCCAGATAGGGGGACAGATATAGGGAATGTCTCAATTGCCATGTCACTTTTCATGTTTGCTTTTTGAACAGGTCAGTCAAAAGAAACCTATGCACGTGAGCAGTACGTATTTAACCCTGTCTAAACCAAAGGACCGCCCAATCCATTTTGTGTGTACATATAAGTATAAAGATACTTATATTTGTCTTTAGTGTCCATTGGTGTTTGGGTGAAGGAAGGTGTCCATTTGCAGATAGGCTGGCCTTTTTTTGGAAAGTCAACTCAGCTTTAGCCAAATATATACGCTCATTAGAGGTGATGCAAAATATATAAATGGCCACTTAAAATCAACTCGACTGTCTAGACAGCGAGAGTGTTTTCAACTGTGTGATAACAAAATAAACAGAAATTTGAATCCATTAAATTCGACCTGTCATGTTGTTGGTCCTCGGGATTCTAGCAAGGGATGACATCACAGAGGCATCAAAAGATATTTGAGTGAATTAGCATGTGGACAAATGTTTGAAACCTAACAGAGTTGAGATGGCTTATGATGAGCCTTTCACATTTTTGTGTATTTGGAAGGCCAGCACGACTGCTTTTGGAGATCTCGCCCACCTGCAAACGAGCACTTTAAGCATATTGTCCTTGCGAACCTATGTAAGAGCACAGAGTATATGTGTGAGAGGGGAAAAAGAATGAGCTAACATCCCACAGTTATGCCTTCTTATTTTAGATGGTGAAAACCCATGGCTGTGGCATATAACAGTTAACACAGGAGAAAGAAAATACATGGGAAAGTCGGAAAGTAAAATGCATCATCCACGCCTCACACAGTCCTTAGCATAAGAAAAACTTCCCAACTCTATAGACTCTAGTGTGCTCCTTGGAATAAATCTGGAGCATCAACCCAGGCCACGATCACTATGATGGTGGTCATCATAGCCGCTGCAGCATCGTCTTGTTGTTTCTTGCAGTTATCAGTGTCTTGTTAGCTAGAAAGTCAGCTCCCACCACACGCATAGGTCTCTGCAGGGATCATACTAATCATGTGTAAATACTGCTGGATTCTTTACATCAAACAAAAGTACTGAGGTAATGTTTCCATTGAGTTAGAGTTTAAATCTGTGCCCTAGGCAGGTACTCAGCCCGCTGGGTCCTTATATGGACTAAGGCTGTTATTTATGTTGGAGAAGTTACCAGACAATTCCTTTCCCTTGCCAAGTAGGGATTTAAGGAGCAGTTTATCTTCAGGTAGAATAAAACAAAAGTTCAATGATGGCACGATCTGCTAACAAGCTCTTTTTTTCAGAAGAAAGTTGATATTTCCCACCAATTTGGGTTGTATAATTTAATCACATTAATAATATTAACAGAATTAAAAGGCCAAACATGACAGGGCTCTTAGGAAGTCCCCTTCCTTTTACAGTGTTTGGGAATGATGTTGACATATTAGTGAGGCAAGAGCTCTGCTTTCGTGAACCGCACAGATTCTAAAAGGGTCATTAGGTAAGACAATTACAGTTTATTGAATGGCATTTGTTCTATTCTACCATAAGGTCACAGTGTTTCAGTGTTCCCACGACTGTAGGTGCAATAACTGTAGTATTAGCTAGGAAATCTAACTGCCTGTAGCCACATTTAATGCTTTCTCTGTTTATGTACTGTCATGTCACAGTGAAGGCCAGCCTTTCATCTCACGAACTTCTGTGCTAGGGAGAACTGGCTCTCACACAACTGACCTCTAGGCCATGATCTTATGTTTGAAGATGAATTTTCTGAGCAATCCTTGGATCAGGAAAGCAGAATTCCTTTTTCGCAGTTACTCATCATTTGTGAAGATTGCTGTCGCTGCACCTGTCTGTAAAGATGGCCACAGAAGCTGAGGATTCCGTGCCACCCCATGTCTGGCCATATTCAGTGGTACTCCGTGATTTCACCTGTTTTGTACCTACAGTTAACTTATTTGAGTTTTATAATTATGATCAATCATTTCAGATGCAAAAACAAAAAAAAAAGATTGCCAAGCTAATTGACAATCTTGCCAATTGCCAAATTTATAGGAGTACAGCTACACATTCTGCCAAACCAACAATTTTAATCCCCCCGAAGCCCTTGGATAGGAAAAGACTTCTGCATTCGGCAGTGTCTTCAAGGATCAAATGTGTAGGGCAAATAGGAATTTCTCATTGTCAAATTGTCTAGAGAGGTGGCATTTTAGAAGAGATGTTATCTTCTCCAGAACGCCATGATTCTCTCTAAGGACTTGTAGCAATAATTTACTGGAATGAAACTCCATGTTCTGGATGAGTTCATGGCACACCCCAGATGCCTTGACTTGGTCTTAGGAAGTGATGTGAGCCCCAGAAGGATCTGGATAAGCCCCATCCAAACCTTCCAGTCTCACTGTGAAGAAAGTATTTCCAAAAATTCCTCCAGTGAGTACCAAGATGCACCCTAAAATCTGAGGTCATGATTTGGAGGTAACTCACCGTCATTAACCATGTCTGGGAGCTTGTATATTCCTCTCTGGCTTTGCAAGTTTATGCTCATTTTGTCCATTTGTGAAGCTTGATGGCACTCAAGTTAGGAATTTCTCTACTGTCAAACAGAGGACCATTCAAAGCCTAGAAGGAATCAGTGGGAAATCTTAGATTTGTGGAATATTTTATTTTACTGTAATGCATTTTCTCTTAAATTGGGAGGTTTTAAAGAACTTGTGAACCCCACACCTTTTTTTGTTTAAGCTGGATTGTGTTTCCATCACAATGTGAAACAAAAAGTGTTGTATATGTTCCACTCTCCTCAAAGAGGAACTCACCTAAATTATCAGACAAGCTTTGTTTATTCCATGGGCTAACCTACATCATGTATAAGTCTGTTGAAAGGATGTGTACTTACATTGTCCCTTGGGTCCTCGCAGTGATCACAAACCCCTTTTAAGGCTGTGTGTGAGTAGTCTGTGAGAGAACTACTCTCATCTAAGTTTGTCTTTATGTGAATGTCTTTCTCCCAATTTATTTCCATAGAAATAAATTCACCTGTTGTATCTTGTGTTGTGAAAGGAATAATTATGGGACACAAAGCTCCTAAGACGTTAGAATAGCCATTCTTGTATGTTGAACTTGAGTGTAAGAGCTATGTCCACTCTGTAATTATCCATTGCACTTTACCATAACAAATTAATCCTTCTAGACTTGTGACTGGAGCTGAGGATTAACTATTGCCATTGAAAATTTGTGTGTATTTTTATACATTCAGTGTAAATATTGTCATTACAATCAGATATTTTTTATAACCAAACAGTTATATAAATGCATGGCACAATGCATGCATGGTTACAAATAGTATGTAGATTATTAAAGATACTATTTTCAGAGTCATTACACTTTTTATTAAAATTTTCATATTCGCTATCATAAATGTCTCATAGGGTTTTGGCCACAAAGGCCCCAAGTCTACAGAAAACTTTATATTAAGGGAAGCAATCAGAAAATTGCCTTCTCGTATGTCAACAGCAGCCACATATGAACATGCCCTGGGTTTGCTAAGGTCATAGTAAACCAGAAGTTGAAGTTGTAGTCTCCTAGGACTGGAGAATTCTGTGAGTTGCTTACTCTTCCCGGGGGGGGGGGGGGGGGGGGACTATGTTCACTCGGCTTTGCTGGTGTCTACGTAATGTTCTGATAATTCTTTCAAAGGTGGCCCTGGAACTTTCATTTATTTCAAGAGAATGTCAAGATCAATTTCATTCTGTTTTTTAAAAAAACAACAAATTCTTGTTCATCCTGTTTCAAATGAAAAAGCAAACGAACAGCAAAAAATAGTAACAAACAGTTATGACCATGTTTTATGGCATTGAGTCAAAACATTTAAGGCTGAGTTAATATGCCCTTGAAGTCTCACCATCTCCAATCTAAACACAAAACTCTGCATCATCTCAGTGGCACAGGCCCTTATGCCAGCTTTTTTTTAGCAATGATTTGCAGACACACTGCATAGAAAATAATTCCATTTTCTTTTAAATATTTTCTTTAGAAATGCCTGCAGTGATGGTGACCAAAAAGAAAGGTCTTTGCATGACGTGCAGCAGACAGGCGCTGGGGAAGAATGCAGCCATACTTCCGTTTCTGTACCAGATGACCAGTGTTCATCTATGTTGTGATGTAGACAGGAAAGCAGGAGGGAGTGCTCTGTGCTCCAAATGTTTCGGAATTTGGGAAGGTGACCTTTGGATGAGATTGGGAGATACTGAAAGATGGATACGGGTGCATCTAAGAAGTCATGATGATAGGGAGAATGGCATCAGTAAAGTCTTTACATACTAGACTTTACAGGTTAGAAAATAGCACCGAAGATCGGATGGTGCATCACAACTAGAGGTTCTTAACTGCTAGCAAAACCAGCTATAAGCAGCCACATCCCACTTGAAGATCATGTTCTTGTTTATAATATTTAGTCATTGAACCTGCTTCTGGATTTCTAAGCATGGCCAGGTATGTAGACCCTTTTGTGAGTGAGAGGAAGAAGCTAACACACTCTGGAAAGAGTTCAAATAAATGTTCAGGGAAGTCTTCATTTTCAGCATATGCTGTAATATATATAATGACTTTGATCATTCTTATGCAGTTAACAAGGGCCCCTCTCTATTGTTGATGAAGACGTCATTTGCTTTTCT